AGGAATAGCAAGGGACTACTTACGAAGAGGCCTGCGTCGCTAAAACGCAAGACATTCGATGGCAGGCCACAACAGACCAGTTTTACTTTGCTCCGTCCAAAATGGTATCTCAGCCTTCACTCACTAAATATGAGGTACTATCACAGATTGCGAAATTGTTCGATCCTGCTGGATGGCTAGCACCTGTGATAGTTCGAGCAAAAATTTTCATGCAAGACCTGGCTCCAAGAGCTGGGGTGGGATGATTCCCGTGACACTTCCCGAGTCCAGCTGGCTTGCCCAGGCACAGCTGATAAGGTCTGCGTAGTGGACGTGCTTACCGCTTGTTGGATCAAAAGCGTTTTTTGACCTTTTAAGAATCTTATCTCAAGTGGGCGTGTGTGGATGGTATGAAGTTTTAATAAAGGTTTTACAAATTGATGAGCAACACGACTGACTTCTATGATGATGCTTACAGAACTAATTTCTTAACATAAATTAAGATTAAAGGGACCGAGCAATTACAGAGTTCGAAAGAGAGCGAGGCTTCGTACATGTGTATGAGTGCTTATGACATTCAAATAGAAGATAATTAGCATAATCTTAACATAATCTGCTTTGACATTGCTATTGATACCCTGACTAATGTATATATTAGCTATATGACCGAGCATCCCGGCCGCCTTGATAGAATTATCTTTCAAGAGACAGGTAGAACAGCCAGCTAATGTACTGGTCAGCAACAGAGTCCAGTGGCAGTGCGAATATATGCGACACGGACCCGGTCATCTTTGCCACTCACAACAGACTCAACACGCCCTAATTTCCAGTGTAATGGCGGTGTGTTGTCCTCATGTATGATGACCATAGAGTCAACTGTGAGATTTGGGGAAGCTGAAGTCCATTTTGTCCTGGCTCGAAGCTCGTTCGCATACTCCGCAGACCAACGACGCCAGAATTGCTGTTTAACAGCTGTGATCTGCTCGTAACGATCCAAGTTGGAGATGTTGTTGGTGATAATCTCACGCTCGGGTAAAGCGCGCGGTGCATCTCCATTTAGAAAGTATCCTGCAGTGAGAGCCCTGAAATCGTTGGGATCAGAATACAGCGGGCGAGAGTTGAGTACTGCTTCTATCTCAACGACTGCGGTGTTCAGTTCCTCATAGGTGAACCGGGTGTAAGCGAGGGTACGCACCAGCAGACTCTTTGCGCTCTTGACAGCGGCCTCCCAAAGACCGCCAAAGTGTGGAGCCCTAGGTAGAATGAAATGAAAGGCTGTCTCTTCAGAGGAACAATATGATAGGACAGCATCTTGAGTGCTAGTGTTGAACATGAACTTCTTTAACTCGAGTAGCTTGTTGGATGCTCCGACAAAATTTGTAGCGTTGTCACAATAGATGTGCGATACTGGTCCACGACGGGCAACCATGCGTTTCAACGATTCCAAAAACTTATTCGTTGAAAGATCTGATAACGATTTCAATGTGAACGGCCTTTACGGCCATGCAGACATATATGGCGATATAGGATTTTGTGGGACCCTTGCCACGTATTCGAAGATAGGTGTTCACTGGACCGCAGAAGTCGACTCCAACGTGGCGAAATGGCTTGTCTGTGCATAAACGCTCAGGTGGTAGGGAACCCATGACTTGACGAAGTAGAACTGGACCATATCTGACACAGTGTACACAAGAACGAACAATGCTGCGTGTTAAAGCTCTTGCGTTTATGACCCAGAATTGAAGCCGCAGCAGTCCAACTAATGCCTTTGGTCCTGCATGGTAATTGCGCAAGTGAAGATGCCGAACATAATTGTAGACAAATTGAGATTCCTTGGGAACAAGTAAAAGATGCCTTTGACGAGCTGAACCTGGACATTGCCATACGAGTCCGCGAAACGTACATATATGCAACAGCCGTAAGCACGTTTGCTGTGAGCTCAGCTTGCAAGCAATTACGGGGTACTGAAATCGACGACAATTCCTTGAGAGACATTACGCAGCTTCTCCATGCTTTCAAATGCTATCATTCACCTCAAATAGTAGCACATCACGACGTTGATCCCAAGCTACGCCAAGTGCGCTAGTGACAGCGTTTTCATCCAAATTTAAATCCGTTACCGATTCGTCGTTCCTGACGGCGGGATGATTGGAGTGCCACTTAACCAATGGGAAGTGTCCTCGGCGAAGTATCTCGGTGACCTCGTGTTTGATGTTCTGCAACTCGATGAGCTCGTTTGCTCCGCTTAGCAGATCATCAACATAAAACGATGATTTTACAATGGATGCGCCAATGGGAAACTCGTTCACATGAAGATCTGCCAGATATTGGAAACTGCGAACTGCTAAGTATGGGGCCGAGGCCGTTCCACACGTCACAGTATTTAGCTCAAAGGTCTGCAAATCAGCATCAGGGGATGCTCTCCAAAATATATATTGAAATTACCGATCCACTGGGCTGACTAAAACTTGTCTATACATATTCGTAATGTCCGCTGTGATGGCGTAACGAAGGAGACGTATATACAGATCTTCTTGGAGTGTTGGGCCAACGAGAAGCAAATCATTCAATGAATGCTGGCACGATGAAGTGCACGAGGCGTCAAACACGACTCGTAACTTCATTGATGCACTGCTGGGCTTAAAAACACAATGGTGAGGTATATAAAAGTGTGGCTCGTCACTAAAGTCATTTTTATTTTTTTATTTATTTATTTATTTATTTATTTATTAATGGTCGACAAAACGAGTGTCTTCCTCATTATTCAAAAGATTGTACAATATAATTATATGCTTAAAGCCTAGTTAAAGGATACAATTTTCTAAATAGCATCACCGACCGATGGAGGTGTTTTATTTGGAAGTCCGGCCAGCTGTGCCCCTTTTCACAGCTAATTTTGTCAGTGACGCTATTAGAGCCTACGCAGAAGGTTGTAAGTAGGAAAAAAGTTATCTCAAGTGAAATTAAAAATAATCTTAATTTGCTATATTAATAAAGAAAATACATTAAATAGGAAAAAAGAAAGTAAGAAAATTGTTAATAAAGTAAAGCAATGTCAGTTAGATAAAGAGTGTTAAGTGGATAGGACAAAGTAAAACGAAGGTATCCTGAAAGCAACGATTTCATTAGGGGTAGAGACAGTTCAACTTATGTAGAAGGACAACACCGAGAGTTGTCCTACGGTTAATTACCTTTGCAGTAGCAAGAATTATTTCTCCGCCTGGCGATTGATTCATATGCGAGTCCGTTGCACAAGGAGTCGTTGTTGAGGATATTTGCGCTATGGATGATGGCGATGTAGACGATAATGATGGCGGTTGACCAAAATGCAGAAACGTGTGATGGCGATGCTTACAGCTTCGACAACGATTGTTAGACGGACACTGAGCCATCGGATGTCCTAATTGAAGGCAATTAATGCAAAGACCAGCATTTTTTACGACTCTGTACTTGAGAGTTTTGGACTCATGTCTTGAAACTGAGAACATTGCACAATTTTATGGTCGGAGCTGGAACAAACAATGCATGTTGGATTAGTAATAACAAATGATAATCCCTTGCTAGGCTTGTACACATGTTTTTGTTTCGAAGAATCAGCCATTCGATACGATGCAATGCGGCTTGATTGCAGAAACTGACAATGACGTTCCAAAATAGTTGTGCAGTGAGCCAATTTGGCAATGTTACATTCCACTTGTTACGAGTTTGCTGGTCACATTTTCCGATGACGATGAATATCAACAGGGCTTGGGCAATCCGGTACCCAATGACGATAATGATGAATACAGGGCTGACGCATTGTCCAGCAGACTGCGCAGCTGATTTCCGTCCGGTTTGTCGACTGGCTGTAGATTGAATAGTGATTCTATTGTGTCTAAAAATGTAAGTGTAGGATTGTCATAACGTTCACTTAAACGAGCAAGAGCTTTGGGATAATTTTCCTGAGTCACTTGGAATGCCTTTACTGCCTGTAGGGCAGGGCCCTTCAAGCAATTCGGCAGATAATTAAACTTTTCAATGTTCGAAAGAGAGTACTCACGACCGATAATCTGATTGAATGATGTAATGCAGTTTTTAAACGCTGCTCGTTTCCCATCAAATACTGGCGGAGCCAATCGAGGAAGGCTCGATGGCGGCGAAGAGCGAATTGGAGCAGCGTTAGAAAATGAGGTGCTGTGCAGTACATCATCCACCTCTGCACGTCCATTGTCCTGAGGATCTTCCAATTAAATTTCAGATTGTACTTTCAAAACCTCCGTAATGTATATCTCCAACATGTCCAAGCGTAATTGTAGCTCACCGTGTGATAATCTTTTTTCACTGCCATCAACCTCAGTAGACACTATTACAACATCCTCTAAGTGTGCGATATTGCGTTTTATGCTCGTTCGCTTACGTAAGTTTGCTTCAAGAGTTGAGATTATGTATCGAGAATGTTGTGACCGAGCGACAGTTTTGATACTGCCAAATTTTCACAGCTTAACTTTGACCTGATAATGTCACTCTCACCAATCTGAGCGAGCGAGAGTTCAAATGCTCCCACTGTTAACAGAACATCTAAGACGAAAATGTTGCGCTCACCGATGTGAGGGTCGCTTGCAGTGATGAAGCAAAATGCAGAGAACAAGCAGAGGCAGCGAGCTTCCAGCGACGAAGCAACGGTAACGAGAATGCAGCAGCAAAGCGAAGGTAGCGAGTTTCGAGCGACGAAGCTACGGCAACGAGAAAGGAGATGTGAGGCAAAGGCAATGAGCAATCAACCTCAGAGCGTATCCAGCGCGAAGTAACGACTACAAGAATGCAGTAGCGAAGCCAAGGTAGCGAGTTTCCAGCGACGAAGCAACGGCAACAAGAAAGAAGAGCTGGCCAAATGTTGCTGTCGATGCTGTATTTTGCAAGAAGTTCGTTGTGCGGCAACGATATGCCGTCAATTTCCACACACTAGCCCCACGTTGGGCGTCAAAATGTTGGATCAAAAGCGTTTTTTAGACCTTTTAAGAATCTTATCTCAAGTGGACGTGTGTGGATGGTATGCAGTTTTAATAAAGGTTTTACAAATTGATGAGCAACACGAATGACTTCTATGATGATGCTTACAGAACTGATTTCTTAACATAAATTAAGATTAAAGGGACCGAGCAATTACAGAGTTCGCAAGAGAGCGAGGCTTCGTACATGTGTATGTGTGCTTATGACATTCAAATAGAAGAGAATTAGCATAATCTTAACATAATCTGCTTTGACATTGCTATTGATACCCTGACTAATGTATATATGAGCTATATGACCGAACATGAATTATCTTTTTAGCGACAGGTAGAACAGCCAGCTAATGTACTGGCCAGCAACAGAGTCCAGTGGCAGTGCGAATATATGCGACACGGACCCGGTCATCTTTGCCACTCACAACAGACTCAACACGCCCTAATTTCCAGTGTAATGGCGGTGTGTTGTCCTCATGTATGATGACCATAGAGTCAACTGTGAGATTTGGGGAAGCTGAAGTCCATTTTGTCCTGGCTCGAAGCTCGTTCGCATACTCCGCAGACCTCCCAAAGACCGCCAAAGTGTGGAGCCCTAGGTAGAATGAAATGAAAGGCTGTCTCTTCAGAGGAACAATATGATAGGACAGCATCTTGAGTGCTAGTGTTGAACATGAACTTCTTTAACTCGAGTAGCTTGTTGGATGCTCCGACAAAATTTGTAGCGTTGTCACAATAGATGTGCGATACTGGTCCACGACGGGCAACCATGCGTTTCAACGATTCCAAAAACTTATTCGTTGAAAGATCTGATAACGATTTCAATGTGAACGGCCTTTACGGCCATGCAGACATATATGGCGATATAGGATTTTGTGGGACCCTTGCCACGTATTCGAAGATAGGTGTTCACTGGACCGCAGAAGTCGACTCCAACGTGGCGAAATGGCTTGTCTGTGCATAAACGCTCAGGTGGTAGGGAACCCATGACTTGACGAAGTAGAACTGGACCATATCTGACACAGTGTACACAAGAACGAACAATGCTGCGTGTTAAAGCTCTTGCGTTTATGACCCAGAATTGAAGCCGCAGCAGTCCAACTAATGCCTTTGGTCCTGCATGGTAATTGCGCAAGTGAAGATGCCGAACATAATTGTAGACAAATTGAGATTCCTTGGGAACAAGTAAAAGATGCCTTTGACGAGCTGAACCTGGACATTGCCATACGAGTCCGCGAAACGTACATATATGCAACAGCCGTAAGCACGTTTGCTGTGAGCTCAGCTTGCAAGCAATTACGGGGTACTGAAATCGACGACAATTCCTTGAGAGACATTACGCAGCTTCTCCATGCTTTCAAATGCTATCATTCACCTCAAATAGTAGCACATCACGACGTTGATCCCAAGCTACGCCAAGTGCGCTAGTGACAGCGTTTTCATCCAAATTTAAATCCGTTACCGATTCGTCGTTCCTGACGGCGGGATGATTGGAGTGCCACTTAACCAATGGGAAGTGTCCTCGGCGAAGAATCTCGGTGACCTCGTGTTTGATGTTCTGCAACTCGATGAGCTCGTTTGCTCCGCTTAGCAGATCATCAACATAAAACGATGATTTTACAATGGATGCGCCAATGGGAAACTCGTTCACATGAAGATCTGCCAGATATTGGAAACTGCGAACTGCTAAGTATGGGGCCGAGGCCGTTCCACACGTCACAGTATTTAGCTCAAAGGTCTGCAAATCAGCATCAGGAGATGCTCTCCAAAATATATATTGAAATTACCGATCCACTGGGCTGACTAAAACTTGTCTATACATATTCGTAATGTCCGCTGTGATGGCGTAACGAACCAATCCAAAACGAAGGAGACGCATATACAGATCTTCTTGGAGTGTTGGGCCAACGAGAAGCAAATCATTCAATGAATGCTGGCACGATGAAGTGCACGAGGCGTCAAACACGACTCGTAACTTCATTGATGCACTGCTGGGCTTAAAAACACAATGGTGAGGTATATAAAAGTGTGGCTCGTCACTAAAGTCATTTTTATTTTTTTATTTATTTATTTATTTATTTATTTATTTATTTATTTATTAATGGTCGACAAAACGAGTGTCTTCCTCATTATTCAAAAGATTGTACAATATAATTATATGCTTAAAGCCTAGTTAAAGGATACAATTTTCTAAATAGCATCACCGACCGATGGAGGTGTTTTATTTGGAAGTCCGGCCAGCTGTGCCCCTTTTCACAGCTAATTTTGTCAGTGACGCTATTAGAGCCTACGCAGAAGGTTGTAAGTAGGAAAAAAGTTATCTCAAGTGAAATTAAAAATAATCTTAATTTGCTATATTAATAAAGAAAATACATTAAATAGGAAAAAAGAAAGTAAGAAAATTGTTAATAAAGTAAAGCAATGTCAGTTAGATAAAGAGTGTTAAGTGGATAGGACAAAGTAAAACGAAGGTATCCTGAAAGCAACGATTTCATTAGGGGTAGAGACAGTTCAACTTATGTAGAAGGACAACACCGAGAGTTGTCCTACGGTTAATTACCTTTGCAGTAGCAAGAATTATTTCTCCGCCTGGCGATTGATTCATATGCGAGTCCGTTGCACAAGGAGTCGTTGTTGAGGATATTTGCGCTATGGATGATGGCGATGTAGACGATAATGATGGCGGTTGACCAAAATGCAGAAAAGTGTGATGGCGATGCTTGCAGCTTCGACAACGATTGTTAGACGGGCACTGAGCCATCCGCTGTCCTAATTGAAGGCAATTAATGCAAAGACCAGCATTTTTTACGACTCTGTACTTGAGAGTTTTGGACTCATGTCTTGAAACTGAGAACATTGCACAATTTTATGGTCGGAGCTGGAACAAACAATGCATGTTGGATTAGTAATAACAAATGATAATCCCTTGCTAGGCTTGTACACATGTTTTTGTTTCGAAGAATCAGCCATTCGATACGATGCAATGCGGCTTGATTGCAGAAACTGACAATGACGTTCCAAAATAGTTGTGCAGTGAGCCCAATTTGGCAATGTTACATTCCACTTGTTACGAGTTTGCTGGTCACATTTTCCGATGACGATGAATATCAACAGGGCTTGGGCAATATCTGATCCGGTACCCAATGACGATAATGATGAATACAGGGCTGACGCATTGTCCAGCAGACTGCGCAGCTGATTTCCGTCCGGTTTGTCGACTGGCTGTAGATTGAATAGTGATTATATTGTGTCTAAAAATGTAAGTGTAGGATTGTCATAACGTTCACTTAAACGAGCAAGAGCTTTGGGATAATTTTCCTGAGTCACTTGGAATGCCTTTACTGCCTGTAGGGCAGGGCCCTTCAAGCAATTCGGCAGATAATTAAACTTTTCAATGTTCGAAAGAGAGTACTCACGACCGATAATCTGATTGAATGATGTAATGCAGTTTTTAAACGCTGCTCGTTTCCCATCAAATACTGGCGGAGCCAATCGAGGAAGGCTCGATGGCGGCGAAGAGCGAATTGGAGCAGCGTTAGAAAATGAGGTGCTGTGCAGTACATCATCCACCTCTGCACGTCCATTGTCCTGAGGATCTTCCAATTAAATTTCAGATTGTACTTTCAAAACCTCCGTAATGTATATCTCCAACATGTCCAAGCGTAATTGTAGCTCACCGTGTGATAATCTTTTTTCACTGCCATCAACCTCAGTAGACACTATTACAACATCCTCTAAGTGTGCGATATTGCGTTTTATGCTCGTTCGCTTACGTAAGTTTGCTTCAAGAGTTGAGATTATGTATCGAGAATGTTGTGACCGAGCGACAGTTTTGATACTGCCAAATTTTCACAGCTTAACTTTGACCTGATAATGTCACTCTCACCAATCTGAGCGAGCGAGAGTTCAAATGCTCCCACTGTTAACAGAACATCTAAGACGAAAATGTTGCGCTCACCGATGTGAGGGTCGCTTGCAGTGATGAAGCAAAATGCAGAGAACAAGCAGAGGCAGCGAGCTTCCAGCGACGAAGCAACGGTAACGAGAATGCAGCAGCAAAGCGAAGGTAGCGAGTTTCGAGCGACGAAGCTACGGCAACGAGAAAGGAGATGTGAGGCAAAGGCAATGAGCAATCAACCTCAGAGCGTATCCAGCGCGAAGTAACGACTACAAGAATGCAGTAGCGAAGCCAAGGTAGCGAGTTTCCAGCGACGAAGCAACGGCAACAAGAAAGAAGAGCTGGCCAAATGTTGCTGTCGATGCTGTATTTTGCAAGAAGTTCGTTGTGCGGCAACGATATGCCGTCAATTTCCACACACTAGCCCCACGTTGGGCGTCAAAATGTTGGATCAAAAGCGTTTTTTAGACCTTTTAAGAATCTTATCTCAAGTGGACGTGTGTGGATGGTATGCAGTTTTAATAAAGGTTTTACAAATTGATGAGCAACACGAATGACCTCTATGATGATGCTTACAGAACTGATTTCTTAACATAAATTAAGATTAAAGGGACCGAGCAATTACAGAGTTCGCAAGAGAGCGAGGCTTCGTACATGTGTATGTGTGCTTATGACATTCAAATAGAAGAGAATTAGCATAATCTTAACATAATCTGCTTTGACATTGCTATTGATACCCTGACTAATGTATATATGAGCTATATGACCGAACATGAATTATCTTTCTAGCGACAGGTAGAACAGCCAGTTAATGTACTGGCCAGCAACAGAGTCCAGTGGCAGTGTGAATATGTGCGACACGGACCCGGTCATCTTTGCCACTCACAACAGACTCAACACGCCCTAATTTCCAGTGTAATGGCGGTGTGTTGTCCTCATGTATGATGACCATAGAGTCAACTGTGAGATTTGGGGAAGCTGAAGTCCATTTTGTCCTGGCTCGAAGCTCGTTCGCATACTCCGCAGACCAACGACGCCAGAATTGCTGTTTAACAGCTGTGATCTGCTCGTAACGATCCAAGTTGGAGATGTTGTTGGTGATAATCTCACGCTCGGGTAAAGCGCGCGGTGCATCTCCATTTAGAAAGTATCCTGCAGTGAGAGCCCTGAAATCGTTGGGATCAGAATACAGCGGGCGAGAGTTGAGTACTGCTTCTATCTCAACGACTGCGGTGTTCAGTTCCTCAAAGGTGAACCGGGTGTAAGCGAGGGTACACACCAGCAGACTCTTTGCGCTCTTGACAGCGGCCTCCCAAAGACCGCCAAAGTGTGGAGCCCTAGGTAGAATGAAATGAAAGGTTGTCTCTTCAGAGGAACAATATGATAGGACAGCATCTTGAGTGCTAGTGTTGAACATGAACTTCTTTAACTCGAGTAGCTTGTTGGATGCTCCGACAAAATTTGTGGCGTTGTCACAATAGATGTGCGATACTGGTCCACGACGGGCAACCATGCGTTTCAACGATTCCAAAAACTTATTCGTTGAAAGATCTGACACGATTTCAATGTGAACGGCCTTTACGGCCATGCAGACATATATGGCGTTATGGGATTTTGTGGGACCCTTGCCACGTATTCGAAGATAGGTGTAAACTGGACCGCAGAAGTCGACTCCAACGGCGAAATGGCTTGTCTGTGGATAAGCGCTCTGGTGGTAGGGAACCCATGACTTGACGAAGTAGAACTGGACCATATCTGACACAGTGTACACAAGAACGAACAATGCTGCTTGTTAAAGCTCTTGCGTTTATGACCCAGAATTGAAGCCGCAGCAGTCCAACTAATGCCTTTGGTCCTGCATGGTAATTGCGCAAGTGAAGATGCCGAACATAATTGTAGACAAATTGAGATTCCTTGGGAACAAGTAAAAGATGCCTTTGACGAGCTGAACCTGGACATTGCCATACGAGTCCGCGAAACGTACATATACGCGACAGCCGTAAGCACGTATGCTGTGAGCTCAGCTTGCAAGCAAAAACGGGGTACTGAAATCGACGACAATTCCTTGAGAGACATTACGCAGCTTCTCCATGCTTGTAGAAGTGATTGTGGAACAGATTCATCCCAGGCGAGTTTTAGCAGCCATAGCTCCTGTATGATGATTTTCGAGACGATAATGATTGGTGCCAGCAATCCTAATGGATCGAACAGAGAAGACGCAGTCGAGAGAATAATCCTCTTTGTGACTGTTGAATACAATTTTTTGGGTTTAAATTCAAATAGTAGAACATCACGACGTTGATCCCAAGCTAGTCCAAGTGCGCTAGTGACAGCGTTTTCATCCAAGTTTAAATCCGTTACCGATTCGTCGTTCCTGACGGCGGGATGATTGGAGTGCCACTTAACCAATGGGAAGTGTCCTCGGCGAAGTATCTCGGTGACCTCGTGTTTGATGTTCTGCAACTCGATGAGCTCGTTTGCTCCGCTTAGCAGGTCATCAACATAAAACGATGATTTTACAATGGATGCGCCAATGGGAAACTCGTTCACATGCGTATCTGCCAGATATTGGAAACTACGAACTGCTAAGTATGGGGCCGAGGCTGTTCCACACGTCACAGTATTTAGCTCAAGGGTCTGCAAATCAGCATCAGGGGATGCTCTCCAAAATATATATTGAAATTACCGATCCACTGGGCTGACTAAATCTTGTCTATACATTTTCGTAATGTCCGCTGTGATGGCGTAACGAACCAATCGAAAACGGAGAAGTATATACAGATCTTCTTGGAGTGTTGGGCCAACCAGAAGCAAATCATTCAATGAATGCTGGGACGATGAAGTGCACGAGGCGTCAAACACGACTCGTAACTTCATTGATGCACTGCTGGGCCTAAAAACACAATGGTGAGGTATATAAAAGTGTGGCTCACTTAATCTCGCATTCGTCACTAAAGTCATATGGCCAAGATCCTCATATTCTTTCATGAAGGTTACATATTGCGATTAAACAGTAGGCTGCTGACTGAGGCGCCTCTCGAGCGACAAAAAATGACGACGTGCAACATCGCTTGAATTGCCAAGGCACATTGGATCTCCCTTGAAAGGTAGACGCACAACAATCCTGCCGTTACTCATCTGTGTTGTCCTTGAATACATATCTTCACAGAGCCGATGTTCTGGATTGATTGACTTTGGAGAATTTACTAGAGCGTCAATGCTCCACAGTAATTGAAGATTTTTGTCAATGGACTCCTCCACAGAAAGCAAGCACGTTGATGACTGCTTACCTGACTGATGACGATACTTGCCAGACACAACGCATCCAAGCAACTTTTTCTAAAGGACTGGCAATTGCCTCCGAGCTTAATCTTTCCAACAGCCAGACATTCGAAAAATGCCTTGGTACCGAGAAGGAGATCAATCCGACCTGACCTGTGGAAAGTTTCGTCCGCAAGTGGTGTATTCGCGGGCAACCTCCAATCTGAGGTGTCGATTTCCCAATCCGGCTGGTAGGCCAATGTGAGCCGTTATGCAGAACTGTAGTGTTACTTCAAATGGTGACAAATATGGTTAATTCCAGTAGTTGTACAGTTGTTAATTTTAGTCGAGGTCTCCCCTATGCAGCGGATTTCGAAATGATGCTTATCACGGCGTAGATGCAGCCGTTGGGCGAATTAATCAGTTATGAAATTGACTTGGGAACATGAGTCAAGCAATGCTCTGCCTTGTTTATACGCCCCTGATGAATCTCGCACTAGTACCTTTGCAGTAGCAAGAATTATTTGTCCGCCTGGCGATCGATTCATATGCGAGTGCGTTGCACCAGGAGTCGTTGTTGAGGATATTTGCGCTATGGATGATGGCGATGTAGACGATGATGATGCAGGCGGTTGACCAAAATGCAGAAAAGTGTGATGGCGATGCTTGCAGCTTCGACAACGATTGTTAGACGGGCACTGAGCCATCCGCTGTCCTAATTGAAGGCAATTAATGCAAAGACCAGCATTTTTTACGACTCTGTACTTGAGAGTTTTGGACTCATGTCTTGAAACTGAGAACATTGCACAATTTTATGGTCGGAGCTGGAACAAACAATGCATGTTGGATCAGTAATAACAAATAATAATCCCTTGCTAGGCTTGTACACGTGTTTTTGTTTCGAAGAATCAGCCATTCGATACGATGCAATGCCGCTTGATTGCAGAAACTGACAATGACGTTCCAAAATAGTTGTGCAGTGAGCCCAATTTGGCAATGTACGTAAGTCAAGAGACCCATTCCACTTGTTACGAGTTTGCTGGTCACATTTTCCGATGACGATGAATATCAACAGGGCTTGGGCAATATCTGATCCGGTACCCAATGACGATAATGATGAATACCGTCCGGTTTGTCGACTGGCTGTAGATTGAATAGTGATTCTATTGTGTCTAAAAATCTTAGTGTAGGATTGTTATAACGTTCACTTAAACGAGCAAGAGCCTTGGGATAATTTTCCTGGAATGCCTTTACTGCCTGTAGGGCAGGGCCCTTCAAGCAATTCGGCAGATGATTAAACTTTTCAATGTTCGAAGGAGAGTACTCACGAACGATAATCTGATTGAATGATGCAATGAAGTTTTTAAACTCTGCTCGTTTCCCATCAAGTACAGGCAAAGCCAATCGAGGAAGACTCGATGGCGGCGAAGAGCGAATTGGAGCAGGGTTAGAAAATGAGGTGCTGTGCAGTACATCATCCACTTGGGATTGGATGGACAATTTGATACTCACATATGTGTCTTCCACCTCTGCACGTCCATTGTCCTGAGGATCTTCCAATTAAATTTCAGATTGTACTTTCAAAACCTCCTTAATGTATATCTCCAACATGTCCAAGCGTAATTGTAGCTCACCGTGTGATAATCTTTTTTCACTGCCATCGACCTCAGGAGACCCTCTTACAACATCCTCTAAGTGTGCGATATTGCGTTTTATGCTCGCTCGCTTACGTAAGTTTGCTTCAAGAGTTGACATTATGTATCGAGAATGTTGTGATCACCGATGTGACCGAGCAACAGTTTTGATACTGCCAAATTTTCACAGCTTAACTTTAACCTGATAATGTCACTCTCACCAATCTGAGCGAGCGAGAGTTCAAATGCTCCCACTGTTAACAGAACAGCTAAGACGTAAATGTTGCGCTCACCTATGTGAGGGTCGCTTGCAGTGATGAAGCAAAATGCAGTAAACAAGCAGAGGCAGCGAGCTTCCAGCGATGAAGCAACGGTAACAAGAATGCAGCAGCAAAGCGAAGGTAGCAAGTTTCCAGCGACGAAGCAACGGCAACAAGAAAGAAGAGCTGGCCAAATGTTGCTGTCGATGCTGTATTTTGCGAGAAGTTCGATAAAACCTTTATCAATTACAGAGTTCGAAAGAGAGCGAGGCTTCGTACATGTGTATGAGTGCTTATGACATTCAAATAGAAGAGAATCAGCATAATCTTAACACAATCTGTTTTGACATTGCTATTGATATCCTGACTAATGTATATATGAGGTATATGGCCGAACAATTGGATTAACTATACTCTCCATATACAGGCAAAATCATATTAATATCGGACCACTATATCATATAGCTGCCATAGGAACGATCAGTCGAAGTTAAGTTTTTGTATGGAAGAACATTTTGTTGACTAAACTTGGCATTTACAAGTTTTAGTAAACTCCTCATATATATGCAAAATCCTATTATGTCGGACCACTAAATAATATAATTGCCATTGGAGCGATCGGTCGAAAATTAAATTGTCGTCTGAAAAAACATTTTGTTTTTCAAGATATCTTGACCAAACTCGGAGCTTATAAGTTTAACTAAACTCCACGTATATAGGAAAATTCTATTAAGATCGGACCACTACATCATATAGCTGCCATAGGAACGTTCATTTTGTTTTTCGAGATATCTTGACCAAACTCGGCATTTATTACTTTTACTACGCTCCTCATATACATGCAAAATCCTATTTAGATCGGACCACTATATTATATAGCTGCTATAGGAACGATCGGGCTAAAATTAAATTGTTGTATAAAAACAAACTTTTTTTTTCAAGATATCTTGACCAAACTGTATAAAAAAACATTTTGTTTTTCAAGATATCTTGACCAAACTCGGCATTTATTAGTTTTACTACGCTCCTCATATACATGCAAAATCCTATTAAGATCGGACCACTATATCTTGTAGCTGCCATAGGAACGGTCGGTCGAAAAATAAGTTGTTGTATGTGATGTAGTAGGGCGTCCGCAGGGCTTCCAGATGAACTTTACGAATTTCTGTATTATTGGGGGAGCGTTTCTGCTCTGCACAAATTTACTTAAGAAGGTTTGAAAAAAACACGTTCGTTCGCTTGCAGGTTATTTTTCCTTCTGTTCTATATTTTCAGAGTACATTACAATGTATTAGTGTAAGTGAGGTGAATTTCTTGTTACATGGTTACATGGCGGTTGGATGGCGACTGCCGGATACACTTGTTGTGTGAACATGCCGCCCGCCCTGCAGTATTGCAAAAAGAAAAAGGGAGAGGGAAGTGGCTCTGTTCCTACTGGTGAGCGCAGAAGCCGGACAGTATCCACCCGAAGACCGTGTTTTGGGCCAGTGGTGCGCCGCCATGGCTCGGCAGGACGCCTTGGAGAATTAAGTCTGGGTAAGTCCAAGCACAAAACCAGATTGACGGATAGCCCGAAGGCCGCGGGTGACGGATAGCCCGGAGGCCTTTGCCAAGGATGCCTAGATAAGAGCTACCGGACAGCACGGGTCTAAAAGTGCCCGAGTGTCGCGGGTCGCCTTGCCATTTCCAAGTCGGATGAGTGCTCTCGGGAGCACGGTTGTCCTTTTGTGTTCCATTAAAGTCGACAAGGAGATGGAACCAGCAGATGAAGGCGGCGCGGAGCGTCGCGCTTGGGCCTTGGTGCTGCGCATTGTTTGGGATCGCTCTGGAGATCGCGATGGCATGCGACGCGCTTCTTGGAAATGAAGCAAGGTGTGATGGTCGCCCTGGCACTTGCGGCACTTGTCCTTGCGGCGACAGGACTCCCCGTGCTGTTACGTGAAGAATGTTAAAAAAAACATAATAGACATTACTGATGCGGGTTTATACGGATGGTCCGCAGACGTATGGATCTTGGATTCAAGTCTTTACTGGAGATTCTACTACTGGATGGAGAATGGAGATAAGATTCTATCGGGAGCAGGATCAGCTTAGAGATAGGTCTCTTGGAGACATCTCGGGCTGTTAACACGTCGACCACTCGGACTCTTTGGTCGTCGCCAGGATAGGTCGTTTGGATTCGACCTAGACGCCAGTCATTAACTGGAAGATTATCTTCTTTAATAATGATTAGATCGTCCCGTTGTAAGTCTCGCGTTGGAGTTTGACATTTGTTTCTTTGCTGTAACTCTAAAAGATACTCATGTTTCCAACGGAGACAGAACTGTTGTTGCAAAGCCTTCAAGCGCTGCCAGCGGTTGATGATGGACGCGGCGTTTTCCTTGATCTCTGGCTCTGTGGCGGAAAGTAGAGGACCCCCGACTAGAGAATGACCGGGTGTCAGAGCTAGGAGATCATTGGAGATAAGGGTCTTGAATTCAGGCATACTTCAACTTCGGATAGGAGCGTGGAAAGCTCTTCGAAGGTGTATTTGGTGGTCGATGTAGATTTATAAAATAGATTTTTGAAAGTCTTTACACCTGCCTCCCACAGGCCACCCATATGCGGTGCACTAGGAGGGTTGAAGTGTCAGGACAGTTTCTGGAGACTGTAAACGACCTGGAGTTGAGTCTTAAGCGCTTCTACAAAATCGCGCGATAGGACTTCAGCCGCTCCGAAGAAGGTTTTGACGTTGTCGGAATGCATTTGTCTTGGGCACCCTCTTCGTGCCACAAATCTCGCAAATGCCGCTAGGAATTTTTCTGTGGTCAGGTCAGATGTAGCTTCTAGGTGGATGGCTTTGGTGCTGAAGCATACAAAGACGCACACGTAGCCCTTTGTAATAAGACAGGCTCGCCCTGTGTAATTTTTCACATAGAAAGGAATATCGATTTGACCAACACCTTCAGCTTTGGAATCCAGTACTGTGATCGTATTAAACGCATCATGAGCTGGTTGCCTCCATGCAAGGCTATAAGATGGGTGAAAGCGGTCAAGAGACGCGAATATGCACATGTGTATGACAGTATGATTGGATACCGCTCATCGTAGCCGAGTGCTTCGGCCGCTCTTATACGACCACATGCTCGAAGTGAGCTGTTTCTTCGTGCTCAAGCAAGTGTACTCTGACGAGTATGCTTGTTTCTGGGTCAGGAGAATGAGTATTTCTTGTGCATAAGAAATCTCGTTGCTGTCAATTTCAATAGTTGACGGGAACGATAATCGTTTGCAACGCTTGAAGAATATGTATGATGATAGATGTATGCTAACACTCGCAGGGCTCGATCGAACTTGGAGAAGCTCTCGAGGAAAGAAATTGGGAGAGCCGTGTTTGCGAGGTTTACTTTAATCGTACGTTGCTCTATTGTGGTATCAGGGAGGGGATCTAAACGAATGGGCCATAGGTTCTGAGGTAGGCGCATGGTGGCTTATGAAGCCAAGCTAGCACAAGTGTGGAATCTGTCCAATAGAACCAGTCGCCGCCAGCGGAAGGTAGCTGGGGACTGAGTGCAGCGGATAACTCGGACAGAAGTGCTACTCCGCAAAGCTCTAGTCGTGGCATGGATACCGTCTTGACCGGAGCGACCCTCGTTTTCGCTGTTAGGAGAAATAGATAGATGTAGATGAAATAGATGTACTAAATGGCGGCCCCATATGCACGCTGCGAAGCGTCACAAAACCCGTGGTATTAAATAGTCCCCTGTGGGCGGAATTCGACCCATCTAGGGATGCGAATCGCACTGAGACCCGGATACTCTTGCAGAAATAAATTCCACTTACTGAGAAGACTCTCAGGTAGCGGATCGTCCCAGCCCAGTTCTTGGAGCCAGATCTCCTGCATGAATATTTTTGCCTGAATAATGACTGGACCCAGCCAACCTGCTGGATCGAACAGTTTGGCAATCTGTGAAAGGACTTCAAGTTTGGTTGTTAGCTCGGATGGAGCGAAAAATAACTCATCGGTGTCAGCTTTCCATCTGATCCCGAGAGTCTTTGTAAAACAGGCCTCTTCAATCTCTAAGAAGACGGCGCGAAGCAAGTGGTCCTTGGAAATCGCTTTAAGCAAGTACTTGTCATTGGATGTCCATTTTCGCAAGGGGAAACCGGCAGATTCAAGGGCTTTGCAGAGTTCTGCAATTGCTTGATCTGCCATTGATTTGGAATGGGCTCCCGCTACATCAGATAACTGCCATGGGAGCGATCGGTCGAAAATTAAGTTGTATGAAAAAACATTTTGTTTATCAAGATATCCTGGCCCAACTCGGCTTTTATTAGTTGAACTAAATTCCTCATATATAGGCAAAATTCTATTAAGATCGGACCACTACATCATATAGCTGCCATAGGAACGATCGGTCGAAAACTTAATTGTTATATAAAAAAACATTTTGTTTTTTCAAGATATCTTGACCAAACTCGGCATTTATTAATTTTACTAAACTCCGTACATAAATGCGAAATCCTATTTAGATCGGACCACTATATCATATAGCTGCCATAGGAACGATCGGTAGAAAATTGAGTTGTTGTATGAAAAAAATTTGGTTTATCAAGATATCTTGACCCAACTGGGCATTTATTAGTTTTGTCATACTCCTCATTTATAAGCAAAATCCTACTAAGATCGGACCACTATATCATATAGCTGCCATAGGAACGATCAGTCGAAAATTAAATTGTTTTATGCAACATCTTATTAATATCGGACCACTATATCATATAGCTGCCATAGGAACGATCGGTGGAAAACTAAGTTGTTGCATAAAATTTTGACTCGAGTTTCGAGTTGCTTGGCAAATATAAATTTGAGTCTCCAACCAATCGCCGGTTGGAGCCTTAACTTTTGCAATTGCCCTCTACGTCTGTTCAGACATCTACGACTTTCTTGACCCTTCCTAGCAACTTGGAGGTATCTCCAATGTTGTCTTTACTAGTCCCAGTAGAGCCCGTACCTGATTCCGTCCCAGTTCATCAAACTGCCTCAGCCCTGTCAGCACCCGGCCGCAAAGGTAGACCTGCGCGCAATCTTGCCCAGATTGTTAAAAACAATCATTGTGCCTCGTTAGCTCCTCCAACTCCTGTATTACCTACAGCCCCATCAGCGCCTACTTCAACGGTAGTTGCCCCTGGTAGGCAAGTTTTTGTGTCTCGACTTTCGTCGGACACCACTTCTGAGCCATTGGCAGCCTATATTGCTAGCAAATCTTCTGCTAGCGTGTCAAGACCCAAATTAAATTTCTCCAGCCCTCGTGAAATATCATCATTCAAAATAAATGTTTCACATGACATGTTCCCAATCATTTGTGATCCCAAATTTTGGCCTCCACACATGATTGTTCATGAGTTCAAGCCTAAAAAGCGTAACCAGCCTGTCACCCTTCCAGTCCCTTCAATACAGGGTACCATGTCTGCCCCAAAAAACTTGCTTCATCTTCTGACCAAATCTTTATTTATTATCAGAATGTCAGAGCTCTCATTTCAATGCATCTTTTCATGGCCAGCACTTCCTTCGATTCGGATATAATAGCATTTTCAGAAACATGGTTAAACTCAACCATATCTGATTTTGAGATTTTACCGAATAACTTTATTTTGTTTAGAACTGATCGGCCGACTCGAGGTGGTAGGGTGTTAAATGCCGTTAAAGACACTCTCCAGTCTGAACTATTCTGTTTTAGTACGCCTACTGACGCTGAGATTGTCTCAGTTAAGGTGTCTTTTCCTACACGGAATATCTATGTAACATGCTCTTATGTCCCTTCTTCTTCTGATATTCAAGTTTATATGAATCATATTACTTGTATTAAATAAGTTTCTTCACACGAGCGTGATAATGACCTTTTAATGGTGTTGGGTGATTTTAATTTGCCGAACATCTCTTGGTCATTATTCACTGCTGAAAATTATCTAGTGCCCTCAGCACAGCACGATTTTATAGATTCAATTCAATTCAATTTCTAATCATATGAAAAGAACACTTGACCTTGTATTTGTTAACTACCTTATTTCTAATGTGTCTAGGTACCCTCCTTTATCTCTTTCTGAGGATGTCTATCATCCAACTTTAGAGATTGCAATGCTAAATTGTAATCCTTTCATTTCGTGCTCATCAGCCAATAAGCCCCGCTATTGCTTTCGCAAAGGAAATTATTCTTTGCTAAATCAGCTTATTTATTCAACCGATTGGTCTTTCTTATATGACACAGTTGATATGAATACAGCCATAATTTTTTTTTATATCACCCTAAACTCCCTCTTAGATGTGTGTATTCCTAAATCAATTCCTTCGACTACTTTTTCAAAACCTCCCTGGGAGTATCCCAGATTATCACATCTAAAAAATGTAAAATCCAAATATTTTAAAAAGTTTAAAGAGTCTGGTTCGTGTACAGACTTGGCTAAATATTCCATAGCCAAGTCGAACTTCTTTTTTCTTAATTCTCAATGCTATGAGAATTATCTAACTCGTTGTAAAAGGCAATTCGCCCGAAATCCGAGACAGTTTTATAATTTTGTAAACTTGCAGCGTAAATCTTCAAGTTTGCCATCTTCTTTTTTTCTTAGGATGGATAAAGCTAGCAATGACACTGATTCTGCTAACCTCTTTGCTAATTTTTTCCAATCAACTTACTTTCCAGTCTGTCCTAATACTAATTCTTATCCTTATACTATTTCTTCCGCTAGTTCTATACCTCCTCCCATTATTTCACACTCCTCTCTCCTATTAGCTATAAACTCTTTAAAATCTTCTTACTCTCCTGGGCCGGACAATATTCCTAGTTGTCTACTCAATGAGTGTAGTTCTTCCATTTTTTATCCATTGCTAAAGCTTTTTAATCTATCCCTCGAAACTTCTGTCTTTCCACCTTTGGAAAGAATCTTATATCATTCCTCTTCACAAGAAAGGTGGGAAGTCTGATATACAAAATTACAGGGGCATTGCAAAACTGTCCGCTATTCCTAAATTATTTGAATCGAGAAAGAAGGGCTATCTTCGGCACGCCAAAGATCTAATACCCTTGCAGACCCAACCTTTTCATAATGCTCATGGTGCTTTGCCCCTATCTAAGAAGTACCGGGAAAATAGTAAATGCCGAGTTTGGCAAGATATCTTGATAAACAAAATGTTTTTTCATACAACTTAATTTTCGACCGATCGTTCCCATGGCACCTATATGATATAGTGGTCCGATCTCAATAGGATTTTGCACATATATGAGGAGTGAAGTAAAACTAATAAATGCCGAGTTTGGTCAAGATATCTTGAAAAACAAAGTGTGTGTACACACAAGAAGTGTATCCGGCAAGTCACCATCTAACCGCCATGTAACTCCGGAACCAGTACATGGAACATGAAATTCACCTCACTTACACTAATACATTGTAATGTACTCTAAAAATATAGAACAGAAGAAAACATAACCTGTAAGCGAACAAACGTGTTTTTTTCAAACCTTCTTAAGTAAGTTTGTGCAGAGCAGAAACACTCCCCCAACGATACAGAAATTCGTAAAGTTCATCAGGAAGCCCTGCGGACGCCGTACAACATCATCTGGTCCTTCGAGCCACATACTTCATCAACATTTTGCATATCGCCCCAGCAAGCATTGATGGATCTGCAATAAAAGTTTCCAGGAACAGCTACAAACAAGATAAGTAGCAGTGCACCTACCTCAACTCGTCCATTGCCAAATTTCCGATTAATTCATATTTGTCTCACATATTTTTTCGCTTCACTTCATAAGGGCATCTAAAAAGTGACAAATATTAAAACAAATAAAACAGAAAATGACTCCGATAAGCTCGCCATATTGGTGTCTATACATATGTATGTATATACATATATGTACAAGTGCATACCCAAAAATTTAACCGATCGCCATATTGATGTACGCAAGTACATCAAGACATGTCTGCACACATAGGCTTTCGCTCCGTTGAACAACAAGTGTATGCGCTTCTCCATTCTTACTTTCACCAAATATTCACATACCTAAATATAAAAAAAAGACACACAATTCTGATTGGTATTTAGTTAATTAAAACCACACTGTGCAAATTCACGTGCATGTATACACACACACGCACATTATATTATATGTGTATCGTTTGCTATTTTTCCTCCACAGCAGTTTCAAAATCAATTTATATATTTATTTTTACCAATTAATTGGCAAGTGCAAAAGGTAAACAAACATTAGGGTTGTAAAGTATCAAGATCGGTTTTCGATAAACTGATTCTGAGAAACTTTTATATTTTTGTATGTTTCCACTTTGCCATTGAGCTGCGTTTACCTATTAAAATACAAACATATGCATTACTTTTTCGTATTATAAAAAATTTTAAATCATAATTATAAATTAAGTTTCGTAATAAATCGAATATCGGTGCGATTTTTCTTAAAAATAACAATTTATACAAATAATTCAATGACAAAAACCTTCCATTGAGCTGCGTTTAGAATAAACGTACTTCTTCTTCAGCTCAACAAGTAATAAGCAAAAAGCATCATTTTTTTTTTTTTTTTGCACGATTTCGTTGGACTTAATAGAGAACACCATTTCGGTCATTCCATTTTATTCTGATATCTCGATTCCATCGTTCCTGTGCCATTTCTTATTCCGTTTTCGCTCGGCTTATCCAAATTATTTGTATTTGATCACATTTCACCTGGTTATTACAATTTTAGGCTCTGTGAAGAGCCTAGTATGCAAATCGGTGGTGATCAAAACAGCCACAAGCGACTCACAGCACCGTCGGTTAAGGAGTAAAAGCGACCTTTAACCTCACATAGAGCAGTTTTCGGGAAACTCAAGGTCGAGAGTACCAGCACAACCGTCTGCAAGACTGTGAGTCCGATGCCAACAAGAGATATTACCCCAAAAATTACCCGTTCGACTACGTAAAAGATGCAGAAGTCAAGCGAAATGGCACTGAACGACTTGGTTTCTATAACTGACCGACTAGGCCAGTTTGAAGTGAAGGTCAATGACGCAGCGGACAGTGACGTATCACTGTTCACTCTCCAAGTCCGACGAGATAAGATTAAGACTTTATGGGAAAAGGTAGAACGCGAGTTCGAGTTATGTTCCAATGCTCTCAACCAAGGCGCTTGCAGCAGCAGTGACCTGGTGGCTATGCAAGCTAAATATGATTACTCGTACTCCGTTTACGAGCGATGTGCGGCTCAACTAAGTGAAAAAATAGAAAGAAAGGCTTTAAATAGACAAGCTGAGCAAACCCCCTCTAACTTCTCCATGTCCAGGGGTTGCAGTCTCCCGCCATGCGACACTGAAGTTTTCAGTGGGGATTACCTACGCTGGCCTTCTTTCCGAGACTTGTTTACAGCAGTTTATATTAACAATCCAAGATTAACGCCGGTGGAAAAATTGTTCCATCGAAATTCCAAAACCAGCGGCGAAGCTAGGGCAATTGTCTCCAAGTCCCCGCTCACGAATGACGGCTTTCAGTCAGCGTGGGCGTGCCTGACGGAGAGATTAGAGAATAAGCGACTATTAGTCAATAGTCAATTGAAAACTCTTTTCAATCTCCCCTCAGTAACACAAGACTCTTTAGACGCCCTTAAAGAGCTTCTGGGCACAATCCAGGGATGTTTAACGGCCCTCGACTTGTCCAGGGTGAGCACCGAAAATTGGGATTGTCTGCTTATTTTCTTGTGCTCCTCTAAATTGCCTAAGCTTACGCTGTCGTTATGGAACAATCGCTATCGATAAGGCTCAATGGTCCGAAATGAATTCATTTCTGATGGACCGGTATCGCACCTTGGAGGCGATAGAGGATGTACGACCTACCGCACATACGCCACCCCAGTCCAAACCCACAAGAAAAGAGTCCAACCACCTGAGAACCTTCGAAGCAACAGTGACTACAAAGTCACAACACTGCAAATTGTGTCAGAAGGAAAACCATCCCGTGGGTCTATGCCCACGTTTTCTACAAATGTCCGTACCCGAGAGAGTTTCCGTCATTAAGCAACAAAATTTGTGCTTAAACTGCTTCGCCAGACAGCATCAGTTGAAAGACTGCACCAGCGCACATATTTTTTTTATGTGCAAAGAACGTCACAACACGCTGCTCCACCGTGACAGACCCCAGGTGCCCTCAGCTTCCACAACACCAATAGTTTTGAACCCTCCTTCGTCTATACAGTCCACTTCTCCTTCAACCCAAGCTACCGTTCAGAACTACTTTTCCGCAAACTCACATGGTGTTCTCCTCGGCACGGCTGTCATCCATTTGTGTCATTTGGGGACAAAGTATACAGCTCGAGCATTAATCGACTCTGGGTCTGAAACGACCTTTATTTCAGAGCGATTGTTCAAAAGGGTTAAACTTCCTTATCAACCCGTTGACGCACAGGTCTCCGGCTTGAATCAAGCTATTTCGGCCCAACCTCAAAAACTTTGCCATTTTAATATTGGCTCTCCGATAAAGCCCAGGGTTCATATTGAAACCTCGGCTTATGTTCATCCAAAGTTAGCAGGCAATTTGCCCTCCTACACCATCCCCCAAAAAGCTTTGGAAGAACTTCCAAAATTACACTTGGCCGATTCCTCTTTCTAAAGGAGCTCACAGATAGACGTGCTTCTCGGCGCCGATACCCTCCCATCCATATTGTTAGGTGGCTCCTATCCCAACATATGTGGCACTCTCCTTGGTCAATAAACGATTTTCGGCTGGCTCCGTTTCTAAGACCAGTGCCAAATCGGTCACATCTTTTTCGACTCAAGTCTTGCTGAATCCAAATGCGAGCTTGGATAAACTGCCCACAACATTTTGCGAGTTGGAGGATATTCCAGTAAAGCTGGAAAAGGAATCCGACCTGTTTTGTGAGCGCAATTTCCAAAAAACCACTAAAAGGGATATAAACGGCAGATACTTGGTCACACTACCATTCAAGAATTCCGATCACATCCAGTTAGGCCATTCAAGGTCCATCGCACTAGCTCAATTTCTACGAAATGAGAATCGTCTGGCAAAAAATGCCCCCTTAAGGAGCAGTACGTTGCGATGATCCAAGAATATCTGGACTTAGGTCACATGCGACAAGTCCCTCCAAGCAATGGTTCGGAAAACTTTTATCTACCACACCATGGTGCTCACAAGCCTGACAGCACCACGACCTAGCTCCGCGTAGTATTTAACGCCTCCCACCCGTCATCGAATGGTAAAGGTCTGAACGATGTGCTACATGCAGGGCCCGTTCTGCAAACCGGCTTAACCATTCAAATTGTAAGATGGCGCTTCTTCCGATATGTCTTCAATGCCGATATCATGAAAATGTATCGGCAGATACTGGTGCATCCCAAACAAACGCCCTATCAGAGATTTCTGTTCCGAACAAAGGAGAACGAGCTTCGGGCTTCGAACTCAGCACAGTCACGTTTGGAGTTAACTGTGCCCCCTTTTTGGCAATCCGGGTACTACATCAGTTATCTGATGATGTTCGTTCGCTCTGTCCCTTAGCAAGTCACATTATCGCAAACAATATGTATGTCGACGATGTACTAGCGGGAACCCATTCCAAATCAATGGCAGATCAAGCAATTGCAGAACTCCGCAAAGCCCTTGAATCTGCCGGGTTCCCCTTGCGAAAATGGACATCCAATGAAAAGAACTTGCTTAAAGCGATTCCCAAGGACCACTTGCTTCGCGCCGACTTCTTAGAGATCGAAGAGGCCTGTTCGACGAGGACTCTCGGGATCAGATGGAAAGCTGACACCGATGAGTTCTTTTTCGCTCCATCCGAGCTAACAGCCAAGCGTGAAGACCTTTCACAGATTGCCAAACTGTTCGATCCAGCAGGTTGGCTGGGTCCAGTCATTATTCAGGCAAAAATATTCATGCAGGAGATCTGGCTCCAAGAACTGGGCTGGGACGATCCGCTACCTGAGAGTCTTCTCAGTAAGTGGAATTTATTTCTGCAAGAGTATCCGGGCCTCAGTGCGATTCGCATCCCTAGATGGGTCGAATTTCGCCCACAGGGGACTATTTAATACCACGGGTTTTGTGACGCTTCGCAGCGTGCGTATGGGGCCGCCATTAAGTACATCTCTTTCAGTACATCTCCTAACAGCGAAAACGAGAGTCGCTCCGGTCAAGACGGTATCCTTGCCACGACTAGAGCTTTGCGGAGCAGAAGTGCTGCTCCGAGTTATCCGCTGCACTCAGTCCCCAGCTACCTTCCGTTGGCGGCGACTGGTTCTATTGGACAGATTCCACACTTGTGCTAGCTTGGCTCCATAAGCCACCATGCGCCTACCTCAGAACCTATGGCCCATTCGTTTAGATCCCCTCCCAGATACGACAATAGAGCAACGTACGATTAAAGTAAACCTCGCAAAGACGGCTCTCCCATTTTCTTTCCTCGAGTGCTTCTCCAAGTTCGATCGAGCCCTGCGAGTGTGAGCATACATCTATCATCTTACATATTCTTCAAGCGTTGCAAACGACTATCGCTCCCGTCAACTATTGAAATTGACAGCAACGAGATATCTTATGCACAAGAAAGACTCATTCTCCTGACCCAGAGACAAGCATACTCGTCAGAGTACACTTGCTTGAGCACGAAGAAACAGCTCACTTCGAGCATGTGGTCGTATAAGAGCGGCCGAAACACTCGGCTACGATGAGCGGCATCCAATCATACTGTCATACACATGTGCATGTTCGCGTCTCTTGACCGCTTTCACCCATCTTATAGCCTTATAAAGGGCTACGTGTGCGTCTTTGTGTGCTTCAGCTTCGGCTTCTCTCGGCCGTTCACTCACACAGGGGTCGATTTTGCAGGCCCTTTCGATGTGAAAAATTACACAGGGCGAGCCTGTCTTATTACAAAGGGCTACGTGTGCGTCTTTGTGTGCTTCAGCACCAAAGCCATCCACCTAGAAGCTACATCTGACCTGACCACAGAAAACTTCCTAGCGGCATTTGCGAGATTTGTGGCACGACGAGGGTGCCCAAGTCAAATGCATTCCTACAACGGCAAAACTTTGTCGGAGCGGCTGAAGTCCTCTCGCGCGATTTTGTAGAAGCGCTTAAGACTCAATTCCAGGTCACTTACAGTCTCCAGAAACTGTCCTGACACTTCAACCCTCCTAGTGCACCGCATATGGGTGGCCTGTGGGAGGCAGGTGTAAAGAGTTTCAAAAATCTATTTT